TTTCAAAGAAACAGCTTTTGGTTTTGCTGATACATTGAATTGTCTTTTTGACTTCTATTTTATCTATTCCCTCTCTAATTTTTAATATGTTTTTCCTTCGACTTTGTGTTCATGGCACCCCACTATCCCTCCTCTCTGGGATTTGGGATGAGAGACTGCACTACCTGTGTTCTCAGTGTACCTCACCAGCTAACCACCAATCCCAGAGGGAGAAAGGCATAGTACAGACCCAAATGCCTGCTCTGCTCTTACCTTTGCCAGGGACAGGTATGTGTGGAGCAATCCAGATCCTCCACAAGCTTTTCTCCTCTTTCAGAGGTGTGTACCTCCATACCACACCTCGCCTCTCCCTAGGGCCCCTGACTGAGCTGACAGCTCTGCTACCAGTGTCCCCTACTTCACACCACAAACCCCAGGTTCTTATCTCCACTCGCTTCCGGTTCACTACAGTGTCAGTCTCCTCAGTATCCACCTTGTTGAAACCTGCACTGGTCTCTGTTGTCCAAGGAATGATCGATCTCAATCCTATCCATGGGACTCTCTCTCTGAAGAGTTTTCCTCTGGCACCTCCTTTAGAAGCCACAGCCAGAGGGGACCATGCCCTGCTGTTGCCTCTGCCAGAGGCTGTAGGGTCTGCGTCCCTTGTCAAGGCCTACTCTAGGGCTTGCCAGGGTCTGCTGGGTCTACGCTACTCCCAGGTCCTGTCCTGAGAGTTGCTGAGATCTGCCAGGCCTACTATGGTGAAGGCTGCTTCCAGTATGTGCCCGGAGATCACTGAGCTCTTCAGCAGTTCACCAGTGGTAGGGCTGCATCTAGGACCCATCCCAGAGTTCACTGGGGCCTGCTAGGGACTACTGAATAAGTGACACTTGCCACTTTTGTTCAGCTATTTGTGGCAGGGGGACTCCCTAGGCAACCAGGGGTTGCCTCACCAGCCTGGACTACCTGCTTGGCCTGGTCCACTGCTCCATGGGTCCCTCCCCTCGGAAACTTGCTCTTAGTTATAATTATGTTTTCTTTCAGGAATTACTGACTGTTCTGCTGTCTTGTCACTCTCCTCTCTAAATACTCTTTGTTACATTTTCACTGCTTTTTAAAAAACATTTATTTATGCATACAAGAACTGTGGTATAGGCCAGAGTTGTGGGGGGTGAGAGGAATCACCAGTGACAGAGTATATCTGTAAATATCTTGTTCCAAAATTATTCTCATATTATTCATGAAAGTCTTGCTTTATTGCCTGAGTTACATTATAAACTCTTGAAATGTACTGAATTTACTATGGTGAGGACAACGGGTGCTTTGGTGGAAGGAGAGCTATGGTGATAACACCTGCTGGGAGAAATCCTATATTGTCAAAATATTAACAAGGATGTTGAACAATGGTACTTAATTAATTTTAAAAAATAACAAAATTTATTTATATGTAGTTACCTTTCTTCCCATGTAGTAAATGTACTCTCCCTGCCTTTGTGTTGAAATTTATATATGCTAATTGTCTTAGCAACTAAACTGTCACATCCTATGCCTCTATTATCTATTGTCTGACCCCTGCCTATCGATCATAACTGTGACTGTCAGAGATCTTAAAATACTGAAAGAGCTTTTCAACATTCAAAATTAGTACATGGGCCTCCCCAGTGGCGCAGCGGTTGAGCACTGGGCTGCGAAGCTGCCTGCAGCCTCTGCAGAATCGGTTCGAACCCCGGCCGCCGGCGAGGGTCCCACATGGTACGCAGACCTCTCCTGCCGCCTGCTGCTCCCCTCAGCAGTGTACTTCCTCAGTCTACCTGTTCTGCTCCCCACTCTGGCTCTGGTGAATTCTCTCACCCTCCCGCGCTTCTGACTGTAGCCAGTGCTTGTATAAATAAATAAATAAATCTTAAAAAACAAAAAACAAAATTAGTTCATGTTGCTCTAACTTAATGACCCACTATTCCAACACATCATTCTATTGAATTCTATCACTAAATTTACTAAGAATAACTTATTAGTCAAACCCAATAACTCTCATCCTACATGATCTCTGTAAATTATTTGACATTTGTAAATTTTCTTGAAATTGTTAAATCTACCATTCTAAGATATCTCATGATTGCCTACTTCTCTGACCACTCCTTTTTTTTTTTAAATTTTAAAATGACAGGTTTATTAGGAGAAAGAGAAAAAAGAGAAGAGAGGTTATCTGTATAGTCACAGGTGAGCAGGAGAGCTGTCCCTGCTGCTTTGCAAAGGGAAAATATTTGTGAAAAGAAACACCTACATCATCACAGGCAGGCAAGAGACCTACCTCTGACCACACCTCATAATTATATTACTGATTTTCTTCTTTGGCCTCTCCACAAAATGTTGGTTATTTTCCTCCAGGTCTCAGGATTTCTTCCACTGTTTTGTTTGTGTTTTTCTTCTGTTCATCCAGCCTTCATCTCCAGCAATTTTGTTCAAGCACTAAGTTCTAACCACAAATTAAGTGCTGAAGACATACATTTTAGTTTTATTCCTCTCTCTTGAATGCAAGTCCAGTACTACCATGTATGATTTCACATGACTGTCATGAACTTATATTAAAGGGTAGTTATATTCTCTCCCATAACCCTGTTCTTGCTCCTTTAATATCTATTATGATTACAGGCATTACTCGTCACACCATAGAGTTTCTCATGTTAGATGCCTTAATATCGTCCTCTGCTCTACCTACCCACACTTATTCCCCATATACCACTGGTTAACACGCTGCTAATTCCGTTTTCAATGTTTTCTGTGTATCTGATGTCTCATCTAGGTTCTGCTACAGTTTAAGCCCTAATCATGTTTTTCCTGCATTATCACAACAGCAACATAACAGGTTTTCTTGCATTCATTTTTTACAGAATAATTTACTTTTGATTTTCTAACAGTACTTATAAGCAGCAGTAGAAGGGTGACAGCAGAGACAAATAAGCACAAAAAGTCCATGTTTGAAGTATTTTAGAGGAAATAAAAAAAGATAGGGTAAAAGATAGTCTGAGGCTAGAAGAAAAGAAAGGAGAAAGTGGGTCAGCTATAAAATCATTAATGAGAATGGACAGTAGAAAGGAAGAGGTTGATGGAGACACGGCAGGAATATGTCCTTAGCACTCTGCTCTCCTTGCTCTATATCCTCTTTCTGGGTTATTCCAACCATTTTTATTTTCTAATGCAACTTCCACCTCTAAATACTTAATCTCCAGTGCTGATGTCTCTCCTAAGTTCTACACTCATATCTAAGCATGCATGAGGTATCTCTATTAGAATGCTCCACAGATAAATATCGAAGTATGTCTAAAAGTAAATTCAACTCATATAGCTTCTCTATTATTCTCCATCTAAATCTATAGCATCACTATTTAGTTAGAATAGAAACCCTTTAGCAGAAACCTGGGAATTACCCTACTCATTCTCTCATTCTGATCTCAACTACCAAGAATTTTACCCACCAAATAGTTCTCTATATTCTTTACTCCATCCCAATTTCACCTTAGTTTAAATCTTATTACTGTGGCAACCACTTAATGGCTTACTCCATTATCTACCCTCTTTCTACACCATCCTAATTTCAGCACTATCTCCGGAATGGTCTTTCCACAAAAGTTACTCTGAACCAAGCCAAAACATCAACTTTTTCTGCTGAGGGCTGATGAATAAAACAATCAAGTTGAAATGGAAGAAAACACAAAATATTATTTTAAATTCCTTTATAATATATTAAAAGAAAATGATACAATACATTAATTCCAATAAGGTATGTGTATGTACTGCAGAAAAAAAAAATTAGATACAGTTATACAGCAGTCCTGTCTTTAGGTGGTAAAGCCAAAACTATTTTTTGCTTTGTTTAGCTATACTTCAAATCACTGTGCAACAACAGGGCATTGTATGATAAGAATACATACAAAATATTCATGGCTATGAGGGAGTTGAATTATTCTGAATACTAATAAAATTCTAGACTGGAAAAAATTAAAACAGCTAAAACAGTGGGATTTCAACCGCTAGGAGTTAAGCACCTTCTAAGATAATATTTTAATACCTGATTTATTTATTTTTATCACTATCTGGCATAATATCCTTAGAGAATATTTTTTTTTTCTTTTACAATAGTTTATAGAGTTCCTGACATAATAAAAAAAAGTGCTTGATTTTTCAGGTTGAAAAATGAATTAAAAATGAAAATAAGTGTATCTTTGCATGGCTACTTCCTTGGGTACATAAATAATGCAGGAGGAGAGAAGTGGAGAGAGTTAAATTTAAAAGGAAGAAGTGGAGTTTTGAGTTTTTTATGTTGAAAAACAGGACTATACTAAAAAATAGAATCAAATCTTGACGGACGGAAAGAGCGTTAAATTACAAACATGTGAAATCCTTATATCTTTGGAACACACAGGGAGTGTGTGTTCATGACTTGGCAAAGTACACGTCAAATACTGCCAGCTGCCTGTTTTTGTAAATAAAGTTTTATTTGAACCTAGCAACACTCATAACTTCAAGTACTGTTTATGATTACTTTGTGGCTATACGGAGTAACATGAGAGGTTCTTTTCATTAAGTCTCAATTATTACAACTTGATCCTTCCAGAAAGTTCGTGGATCCTTGTACTGGAAATCGACAGTCTAGAACAGTCACTACAGAAGCGCCCCCTAGCGATTACCCTTGACTAGTGACACGTTCTGGCTGTTTCCAGAACATTCTCTAGGCCAGGAAGTACTCGCGGTGTGGGATATACCATTATGGTGGGGGGGTGGAAGTAGGAGGTGAGACTTTTTTTTTACCTCCTTACAAGTACTTCACATAAATGGATCTAAGTATATATGCTAGCTCCGCTGTCTGGTTTCTTAAAAAACTTTCAACAGTGTAACAGGTTCCCTTAATTCCTTGGGGAGGGAGAAAATATAATCCCTGAGAAATCGAGCACACCCCTACAGTCTCTCGAAGTTGGAATCGCCCAACGGAGAAAAGCCTCAGGGTTAGGCCCAAGGCTCTCTTTCCTCAGAGCCCTAGCAGGGGGAGAGGTACATATCAACTACCTTTCTGGCTTCAGAGATCTGTGTTTAGGCTGCTACCACACAGATTGGGGCAGGAAAGGTAAAGTATTGTGGAAGATGTCCTAGGGCGGGGCAAGCCTGTGGAGGGTGTGGGGTGGGGGGCCCCCGAGGCGGGGTTGGGGGGCCTGAGGTGGCTGAGGCCGGGAAGGGGGGCGGCGGCCAAGGCTGGAGGCCCGAGGTGGGGGGGTCCTAGGCGGGGGTGAGGACCCGAGGGCGGATGGGGGGCCCCGAGGCGGGGTTGGCGTTGGGGGGTGGGCGGAGGTGGGGTGAAGGGGCGGGGGGGGGGGTCGGTTGAGCCGGTTGAGGCGGGGATTGGGAGGCGTAGGCTGAGGCGGGGTGGGGGGAGTGGGGGGGAGGTGTTGCCTGAGGTGGGGTGGCTGAGGTGGGGTTGGCCGAGGTAGGGGGGCGGCCGAGGTGGGGGGGCGGCGGGGGCGTGGCCAAGGCAGGATGGGGCGGGCACGGCAGGGGTGTGTGGCTGAGGGGGGCATGGCTGAGGGGGGTGGCCAGGGTGGGGGTCCGAGGCGGGAGGGTCTCAGGAGAGTGGACTTGCTCAGGGGGGAGGGGATGGGAGGCAAGGGAGGGAGAATATCTAGAGGGAAGGGGTGGGAATAAGGAGGGGAAGGGGTGAGAGAACAGATTGATTTACCCCTCCAGGGCCAACTAAAGCTTTTGAGGCATTTTGTCACCATGGCCTTGAAACCTGACGACCCTTGTGGTGGGTTCCGGCATAGCAAGGTTCTGGAGTTCATCAATGAGAAGATAGCAGGTCACGAGAATGGCCCAGAGTTCTATGTCGCAAATACATTCCTGTCCTGGGACGAGGTGGAGGACAAACTCAAGGACATCTTGGAGGACAGCGAGGTGCCCAGCGAGGCCAAAGAGGCCTGTGCCTGGAGCAGCCTGGCCTTGGGCATGCGCTTCGCCTACAGGCAGAGCCAGTTACATGCACGCAGGGTGCAGTGGCTGCAGGATTTCGCCAAACTGCACAAGTCGGCTGCGCAGTCCTTGGCCACAGACGTGAGAGAGCTGAACACGCAACAGGAGTTGGAGCGCAATGAGGCAGCCTTAAGGCTGAGGCAGACCCAGGCCAATCTAGCAGAGATGAGAAAGGAAAGGGACTTGCTGAGGTGGAAGCTCCTCCGGGCGGTAAGATTACTCCAACTGACCCACTCTCACTTTCCCTGACTCTTCCCCCTACCCTACCCCAGATCGGTTCTCAACCCTGCCCACTTCTCTCCAGGAGATGGAGTCTCCCCCTGATTGGGCTGCAGAGGGGCCACTAGTGGCAACTGTCAGGAGAATGAAGACTGAAGGAACAGGTGAGAAGGAAGAGTCAGTGGGAGCGGCTGCTACTGCTCCCGCTGCTACTCCTGCTCCCACTGCCGGTGAAGCCTCTGCTGTCTTAGAAGAAGCAGGAGAAAAACCAGAGGAGGAGGAAGGAGCCATGGCCACAAAGGAGCTGGGTGGAGGTGTAGTGCAGCCTGGAAATTTAAAGCATAAAATTTACACCGCGGGTAGGCAGCGGGAGGGTGATGGCAAGTCAGTGGAAACAACCACATTTTATTTCTCTGGGACCACGGTGCGACGTGGGTCCACAATCTCAACAGCACCCCTTCATGTCCATCTCCCTCCTTCATTCACATACTCATACCCACGCCCTTCATCCCCCTTCCAAGACACACCCACACCATCTCCACCAACAGCAACTGTAGTGCCATCTCAGATGCCTTCTGCTGATGCTAGCTCATTGTCTGACCTGGGGGGGCAGGGACTAGACCCTCAAGAGCTTCAAACAGACAGGAAAGACTTAGATACCAGCCTGCAGAAAAGAGCTCTAGTATTTCGTAGGCCTGGGGACTGGGACTGCCCTTGGTGTAAAGCTGTGAATTTTTCACGGAGGAAAACTTGTTTCCGCTGTGGGAGGGGAATCTGGCTACAAAATCCTTAAATTCAGAAATGTAAAGTAACAAAAATATATCCCAGTGGGAAATCAATTTCTGGGGGAGGGGGGTTTAAGGGAAGGTTTGGGGAAGGGGGGAGGCAGCTTGGGTGGGTGGGAGGATGGGTAGGGCCAAGGGGGTTGTTAGAGGTGGGGTGGATGGGTGGGGGATGGATGGGTGGGGGGAGGGGTGGGTGGTGGATGGGTGGGGCAAGGGAGTTGTGAGAGGTGAGGGGGGTGGAAAGGGGGGTAGGGAAGGGAAGTAGGGTATAGGGTGGTGGCTAGGGAGGGTATAGATTAGGGGTTGGGGGAGAGAGAAACACAGAGACAGACATGTTTTGATGACCCTGTGTGTCTTCCAGAGAATTAGCACTTAATACTCTAGAACTGCTGAAGCTTCTATTTGTGTGTCCGTCTGTCCCCAAACCTAGTACCTTATACACTGGGCATGTATTTAACAGCCCACTCCCCACACCCCCAAACTAGGTCTTACATGACTGGAGCAGGAATGGTCATCTGACCCATCCTGAACCAAACGGATTCTCCGGCTGGAGAATCTGAATCTGAATAGAGAGACAGAGTCCTTTAAGATGGTGTTGGGCAATGAAGCAGGGGGTCTCCTGGAGCTGGGGCCAAGGTCAGAGGCACACACACGTGGATCACAGCTGAGGTCTGGCCCTGGTTGTGGGGAGCAGAACCAGGTGCTTTATAGATATGCGGTGTCTTTAGAGAATGCCAGTATGACGTCTCAGAGCAGACAGGCGCAGAGCAGCACAGAGCAGTATACCCTAGGACCCCAGAGATGGAGAGAGGCGACCTCACCACTTTTTACCTTCCTGCAATAGTGCTACGAGAAAAACCACTTTACAGAGACCCTTTGTCTTTAGTTAACTTGAAGTGAGTTCCTGTTTGTGGTAACCAGATTATTTCTAAGTCAGAAATTGCCTCCAGAAAGGCAGTTGTAAAACAGACCATCAAAGAAAATGTTGGACTGAGGAGGTGCACGAGGGAGAGAAAGGGAGCGGGGATTCCTGCATCTCGAGAGTCTCCACAAAATGAAACATTCAGGTTCTGAGCCAGTTCTACCCCAAGAAATGATCAAAACAGGCCTGGCGTTAACCCGGACTGACAACGCTGCAGAGATTGCCTCCCCTAACGGAACCAAGGCTGCATTTGGAGGACACCAGCGCTGGCTGCACATGAGGACAGCTATGACTTCAGCCCCTTGACAGGAGAATCCTTCCCAGTTCCCAGGAGGCAGAATCAGGAACACATCTGACCCGGGAGCTCGTGCCACTGCCAAGGAGGTGAGTCAGCAGCTGACAGTGCCCGAGGCCTTGCTGGTCTAGACTGAAGAGTAGAGTCCAGTCTGGGAGTCTCTCCACCAATCTACCACATGACAGCTACGGAAGGGGAGCCTGGCTACAAAGCTCTCAGTGAATCCACAAAGGTGGAGCAGGCTATCCCCGTGTAAATCAGCCTCAAGAGGGAGGGTGAACAAGGAGGGGGAAGAGGACGGGCTGTCCCCCTCACCCACGGCTATTCAGTGCCGAAGGGGCTAACTCTGGTTTTGTCCGCAGCGGGAAGGATGGGGAGGATCATACCTGGACAGACTGAGGCACCCCCGGCCATCATGAAGGGACTGTGGACCTAGAGACTGAGGAGTCGTGTCCCTGGGACCTCTCTGCAGCAGCTGGATGCGACTCTGGGGTGTCTCCTGTTGGGGCAGGTGTGGGTTGGGGGCCAGATCCCTAGTCAGAAATGCCCTTGGGCTTGTGTACATCCTTCTAGGGCAGGGTTTCCCAACTCAGCACTCTCAGCACTTGCAGTTGCATAATCCCTTGCTACAGGGGGCTGTGCAGTACACTGATGATGTTTACATGTTACAAGATGTAATTCCTGGCCACCGGTACCACTAGCACACCCCCGCTCCGGCCCTGGCTATAACCACCAAAAATGGCTCCGGATATCACCACATGGCCACTGGAGGGCCAGATCACCCTGGCTGGGGACCTCGGAGGCAATGAGGTACACAGGCCCTCAGAACAGAGGGAAGGGACGTGCAAGGCTAGTGTGCTCTGCTGTGCGCAGGGCTGCAGGGACCCCCTAAGACCGAGGTGGAAAGTGTTCACTGGGTCAGGCTTGCACTATTGATCTGCAGTAGATCCCGGTGGGGGCGGCCCCGAAGCCAAACTGCAGAGTGAGCCAGAATGGAGGAAATGCAGTCAGGGAGGGAGGCTCTTCTTCCAGGGCTGCGAAGGGAAGGAGTGAGGTGGGAGATGTGGCCCAGAGAGGGTGCTTTTGAATATGGGGGAAGCTTGAGGCCTGGGGAATGAGGTAACTGAAGAAAGCACGACAACGCACGAGATACGTACAAGAATGAGACCATATGCACAGTGCTGTATTGGAGCCATGTTTATTGTGTAATGAAAAAAAATTCATGATAGGCTCCCTTTACTGTTTGTAAAACTCACTGCCTCTAATTTGTGTAAGTGTGGATATATACGATAGGCAGATATATAGATTTTTTTTAAGTTTTTTTTTCAAGAGGCATGTATTTTTATTTATTTATGATTTATTTAATTGTGTGTGTGTTTGTTTTGTTTATACAAGCACTGGGTACAGTCTGAAGGGCGGGAGGGTGAGAGAATTCACCAGAGCCAGAGCGGGGAGCAGAGCAGGCAGAAGGACCGAAGTACACTGCTGAGGGGAGCAGCGGGCGGCAGGAGAGGTCTGCGCGCCATGTGGGACCCTCCTCCGGTGGCCGGGGAGCAGCCGGGGATTGTACAGGCACCACAGTGGCTGCGGGCAGCTTCGCAACCCAGCGCTCAACCGCTGCGCCACCGGGGAGGCCCCAGATAGATAGATTTATGGTTGCTTATGTTATGGATTTATGCTTGAGTAAGCTTGTTTTAAAAAGTATGGAAAAATTTGTTTCACAAAAAAAAAATTTTTGGAGTACTTTATGAACTTCTGTGTTGTGAAAACAAAATAATAAAATGTTCACAAATAAACAAAAAATAAAGTGAATTTACTGGTTTGAGTTGGTTTGGAAAGGTCACCTAGTCCTTCGGGAAAGGAGGAGAGGAAGAAAATAGACATTGATCTGTGTGGCAAAGGGAACTGGAACGAAGTGAGCTCCAGCCTGTGTGTCCCTTAGACAACACATCTGAGTGAGTGAGAACACAGTGGCTGGCAGGGGGCTTCTGGTCGATGACACATTGAGGAGTATTTTGGGGGTGGACAGTGGGGAAAGGGAAAGAAAGGATCATCAGTCTGCATGGAAGACCCAATTGCTATGGGTCCTAATGGAAAGAAATCCAAAGGGAGGACAGTGGACCGAGGTAGGAGACCTGGAAAGAAAGGTGAGTAATCTCAGAAGGGCAGCAGACACAAGTGTCTGGTGTTACAACTTGTTTTCATAACATTTTTTTTTTTCCCAGTAAAAGATGCAGTCCGTTCAAATTTGGGTTTCATATTTGGTTTTATATTTCATATATTACACCCATTTTAAAGGTTTTTTTCTCTCTAGGTCCAGAGGGAAGGATTTAATTTAATTTACAACTAATTCACTTTGATTATTAAATATACACAACAAAGCCGACAGAGATCATCTGATACAGCCTTTGAGACCTTGGGCTAGCATACTTAGTGAGATGGGAATATAAAGAGTTAAGACAGCTTTAAAGTGATGTTGCTGTGATGTGGTATGGAGACTTAAAGAAATAAAAATGTGTATCTCCTGGGTGGCCTAGGGGTTAAGTCTCAGTGCCACAACCTCGAAGGCACACCGTGATGGCCTGAGTTCAATCCCAGGCCAGGGAGCTAACCCACATATGATGCAGCAGACCTCTCGTCACTCCCGCTGCTCCCTGTTAGCAGTGTATTTCAGTAGATCTGCCTGTTCTGCTCCCCACTCTGTCTCTGGTGAATCCACTCACACACGCCCCCCACCCATCTGGCCTACACTGCAGTTCTTCTGTGCATAAATCTTTTTAAAAAAAGAAAAATGGAAATTCCATATGATTTGATTCAGCAATACCTCTATTAGGTATTAAGCCTAAAAATAGGAAAACGATAATATAAAATGACTTATGTAAGCCTATGTACATAGCAGCACAGTCCACAATTGCAATAGATGAGTGGACAGTCTTGGAATATATACTTGATAGAATACTACATAGCTATAAAAAATGAAATATTGGCTTTTGGGACCAAAAGGATAGACCTCAAGGTGATGATGTTAAATGAAGTAAGTCAGAAACTGAAAGACAGATAACACATTGTTTCACTCATCTGTGGAATATAAATAAGCAAAAAAAAAAAACATAAAACAGGCAAAATATAGCAGGGCTAAATCTTGGACTTAGTGAAAAAATTTAATGGTTACCCCAGGGAACCGGCGGGGGGGGGTGAGAGAGAGCAGGGTAGGAGGCAAAGGGGGTATTTACTGGCACTGGTGGTCTGGTGGAGGATGAGTGGAACAAGTGCATATATGGAAGATCAAAAATGTAACTGCAACATCAAAGTTAGAAATTTAAAAAAGAACAGGCAAAACCAAAGTCCCCCCCACCCCAGGTAATAAAATGATGTTGTTGGAAGAAACTCCCAACTCCACTGGGTAAGGAAAAGAAATGGAAATTTCAAGGAGACCAATGTCTTAGTCAAAATCTGATTTTTGTCTCTACTTGCCCTTGAACACTTTTTCTCTGCTTGGGAATACCTGTACAATTGCTGCCTGTTTAGATCCTCAACACCCCTAACTCTGTATGTCAAAAGCTTTCTTCCCCTACTCTCCACTACTACTATTTTATCATACCGTTTCTAATGGGAAATTTCACTGTCATGTTTGGTGGAAGATAAGACCCTAAGTTAGTGTGGGTAGCTTTCACCCTCTCTCTGCCCTCTAACAATGTTCGTCTCTTTGGCTGAATGGGTCACTCCAAATCCAGCAATTTCTATAGGTGTTTGGTATGCCACATCAGTCCCTGGGTTTTTACTGTGCAGAATAGGTATAATGCACAAAAAGAGTTGAAGAAT